AGCCGTGTGCGGCACAGCACCAGTGTACACAATTTGGGGCGGCATCCTTATGACACAATGGAGCGCCTGTGGCTTCCACAGAAACCAATATTGCCATATAGGATTTGCAAAGGAATCCGTATGGAAAAAGGAGCGCCGCTGGAATCTACGAGTCCTCCCGAATCTTCCCTCATCACCCGAACTCCTCCCATCTGCGTCCAGAAGGCTCCCGCAGAACAAGCCGTCCGAGAACAAAGTGGACTGATTCAATCAACCATTTTGCGGTGCACATTGAGATGCTCACGTGCGCTGTAGCGCCGACCCGCACGACGGGGGGAAGAGTGATGGAGGATGAAGAGGAGGAGGTTGAAGAGGAGGAAGAGGAGGGGGGAAGAGAGAACAGCATCGCATTTTATGATCAACACTTCCCCACGCGTGGTGTTTAGTTGTCCGCGGCAGTTCCTCACCGACATGCTCCTTCTACTTGTCTTGAGCACGCAGGCGCTGGTGTCCACCAGCGCTGCGTTGCACACGGATGATGTGGTGTACACAGGCGCCGTGGTGTGCACACGCGCTGCGTTGCACACATACATTGTGGTGTACACAGACGATGTGTTGTACATTTTTGCTGCGGTGTATACATACGCTGTGGTGTACACAGGCGCTGTGGTGCACACAAGCTCTTTGGTGTACAGTGGCGTTGCGTTGCACACGGCTGTTGCGGTGTACGCAGGCGTTGTGGTGTACACGCGCGCTGTGGTGCACGCGAGCATTGCGGAGTACACAGGCGCTGCGGTGCAGATCGCCACCGACACGCTGCTCCGACTTGGCCCCGGTCATCCTTAGGCTTTCCCGAACGCCGCTGGCGCGGAACGTGACGCAACCTGGAGGGGGCGGGGGCGGGGCCGATGACGGCCGTTATCCCAGAATTTGTAAAACAGGTTCATACCGTGAGTGGTGCCGCACGGCAGCATGAGGTACGGAGGATTTCAACAACAATACGGGAGGTCGAGGGACTTGCCCAAACGGCGAGCGTGAACACACACACACACACACATATATATATATATATATGTATATATATATAAATATGACAGTGTCGGCGACAGCATGTCCATGATTGAAGGGGACGTTGCTTCTTGTGTCGCCCTCGGTTGGCAGACCAGAACGGTTGAATTGGCGGGGTGTCAGCCGGCTCGGTGGACCAGCGGGGGCAAGCAAACATTAATCATAAGGGGGGGCAGTGGAAGAGGAGGACGGGGAGGACGACGAAGAGGAGGCGGAGGGACGAGGATAGGAACAGAGGAGGGACGAGGATGACGAGGACAAGGATGAGGAGGAGTCGTTTGAATTGAATCGCGCTTGCGCTAATCGGTCTGAAGGAGGCGGGAGGGAGAAGGGAGGCTGGAGGGGAGATGGAGAGGGAGGATGATGAGGAGGGAGGCGGCGAGGGGGAGGGAATGGGGGTTGGAAGGAAGAGGAGGAGGAGGAGGAGGAGGAGGAGGAGGAGAAGGATGGAGGAGGATGGCGGAGCAGGAGGAGGCAGGAACGAGATCACGGAGGGAAGGAGGAGGAGGAGAAGGAGGACGATGCTGTGTGTGAGCAGGTGGAGGACGGCGGCGCCTGCCCGGCGCACCCCCAAACCCAGGTGTACACGTGGGAGAACGGATGCCAGCTGGCGGCGATGCGGGCGCTAGGCGGGCCAGCCGCGCCGCCGCCGCCGCCGCCCTCATCGACCTCCTTGCACATGCTCCCTCCTCCTCCTCCTCCTCCTCCTCCTCCTCCTCCCCCTCCCCCTCCCCCTTTCGCTCATCTCCTTTCCTCCTGGCTGCTCCTCCTCTCCTCTCTTCTCCCTCCGCCTCGCTCGTCCCCCGTGGTCCTCCCTTCCGTGAAGCTTCGACCTCGTCTTCCTCCCCCTCTCCGCACCATCGTCATTATCGCCCTGCTTCGGCAAGCAGAAGTGGGGAGTGGGGAGGATGGGAGGGTTAAGTTGCCCGCTCCTGCGGTCTTCGAAGATGCGAGTGTGTGAATGTGTGTGTGTGTGCAAGTGTGCGTGTGTGTGTGAAAGTGTGTATGTGTGTGTGTGTGTGTCTGTCTGTCTGTGCGTGTCTGGGTGTGTTTGTGAAAGTTTGTGTGTGTGTGAACGTGTTTGTATGTGAAAAAGTGTTTGAGTGTGTGTGTGTGTTAGTGTATGTGTGTGTTTGTGTGTGTGCGGTTTGTGTGTGTGTGTGAAAGTGTGTGTGTGTGTGTGTAGAGCCTCGCGGAAGAGTTTCACGCCAAAGAAAGGGGCAAGCCTTTCGAAGAGGACGACGGCAAAGGTGTTTTTTTTCCAAGGGGGGACCCCGTCGCTGGCCTCCGGCGCGCTGCCGACGCCGAGCCGCGCCGAGGTGACGAAAAGGCCCTCTCGGATGGCCCCCCTGGGGTTTGGGCCTGGACCGTCAGAGGTCTCTCTCACTCTCTCTCTCTCTCTTTTTTGTTTCTCTCTCTCTCTCTCTTTCTCTTTCCTCTTCAGTGGCGTGCGATCCTCCCCCTCTTCCCCCCGCCTCTCCTTTCCCTCCTCTCCCCCCGTCCTCCCTCCCTCCTCCCACTCCCTCCTCCCCCCTTCCCTCCCTTCCTCCTCCCTGCCCTCCTCCCTTCCCTCCTCCCCTCCCTCACTCCTCCCCTTCCTCCCCCTCCCTCCTCCCCCCTCTCCCCTTCCTCCCCCCACCTTCCCCCTTCCCGCCCTTTCTCGCTCCCTCCTCCTCTTCCTCCTCCTCCTCCTCTCCCCCCTCCTCCACAATTACTCAATATGAATACTACTCTTCTCCTTCCCCTGATGACGGGTTGGGAGTGTTCGCCCCCCCCGCGTATTGTATTTTACACAGGATTCCCCGGAGTTGGGTTTTCGCTTGCATTTGTTTCCAAAATGCTGCTCTCGCTGGGGCGCTGGCCTCATTTTCGGGCCCCGCTCGTTCCGAATCGTGCTCCCGCCGCAGCGCTGGCGTCATTTCCGTGCTTCCGCTCGTTCCGAATCGTGCTCCCGCTGCAGCGTTGGCGTCATTTCCGCGCTTCCGCTCGTTCCGAATCGTGCTCCCGCTGCAGCGCTGGCGTCATTTCCCGTGCCATGCCACGGCATGCAATGCAATGCTAGGTTGCGTTCCGCTGCGCGATGCCATGCCTTCAGCTGAAGCCGTGATATGCAGTGCTTAAGTGCCACGTCGTGCTATGCCATGCTACGCTTCTATCTTCAACGCCATGCTATGCAATGTTATGTTCGGGGCCGCTGTGCGATGCAATGCTTTGCGTTGCACAGCTTTGTGATGCAATTCGTCACTACGTCACGCCACGCCATGCTGTGACATACTACGCTTTGCGGTGCTCTTCTACACCATGCCATGCCGTGCTCTACAATGCATCGCGTACCCTTTCGGGATCATTGCCCTGCTCGACATCCGACTCTGCGAGTAGAGAGGGAATCTACGCCATGGTAAGGGATGGGAGGGGGGGTAGGATATCAGATATGACGCGAGCGCACCTAGCTTGATCCCCCTCCCTCCCTCCCTCGCTCCCTCCTTCCCTCCCCCGCGAGAAAGGTCCACATTGTAAGTGTACGGCCCATATCCCAACAAGACGGTCCAAGTCCCAACCAGGTAGTAGCACTGGAACTGCCAAGGTCCGAACGATCATGTTTTCGGTTTCCAAGCGTTTCAGGCATTTGATAAGCGCCTGACACGCGTTTCCTTGAAGGCGTTTGTTCGGAGTTGTGAGGATTCCCGCGAAGGTTATTCGGACGCGCCCTTTTTTTGTCGGGATGGACGCCCCCGATCGTATATCCCAGGGATGGGCCCACAATTTTTGGTCCAGTCGAAAACCCCACGAAACATCGGATAGGGGTCGCCATACCCCCTGTTAGAGCATTGGCGAAGCGTCCTGGTTTGCCTGTATGCCCACCGAAGAACGTTCTAAACACCTTCTGTGCTTGCGGGTCTTGGACTTTTTCCTAGATGAGACAGTCGTGGCTCGACACATCGGATTTATGTTCTAATGATGGTGCGTTTGTTTTGATAACCCTAGTTTCGGTTCTAGGAAAATTGCGCGGTCGGCTTATAGGACTGCCGGGACGGTCGGTCCCTGGTCAAACAATGGGACATATTGGATAGGGCGGGCAAACGAGAAATCCATAGCACATCAATACAAGCATGGTGTAGGACATCCTGGCACGTGAGCCGACTTACGTGCGCCCCTTGGGCTCCCTGTTTGCAGGAGCAGGAGGCGGCGTAGGGGGAGGGGCGGGCGGCGGTGGGAAGGCCCGGGCCCGAACCCGGTGCGCCAGACCTGTGTGCGATGCCTGGCGTGGGCGAAGACCTGGTCCAGAAGATGAAGAAGCTCGGGGCGCGGAAGCTCCAGGATAGTGCCAGCCTCCACCGTCTAGTTGTGCCCGCCTCCCCCCTCTCTCTTGCGGTTTCTGCTGTCTCGCTCGCCCCCGTGGTGCCGCCATCCGCCTCGCCCTCCTGGGCATCAGCGTCCACCGTCCTCTTGCCGGTGCGCCTCCGCCCCCCGCGGACTCTCTCGGCCATCTTTCGCATTCCTCTTCATTCTTCCTCAAAGGAGGAGGAGAAGGAGGAGGGGGAGGAGGGGGCTTAGGAGGAGGAGGAGGAGGAGGAGGAAGGCGAGGAGGAGGAGGAGGAGGAGGAGGAGGAGGAAGGCGAGGGGGAGGAGGAGGAAGCGGAGGGAGAGACAGAGGGCGAGGAGGAGGAGGAGGAGGAGGAGGAGGATCAGTGCAAACCCAAGAGTCACCAACGCTGTTAGAGTTAACCCTCCCATCCATATTCCTCTTCGTAGGCCCCTACAACGGTTCATGTCCGTTGATGGAACTGCCTCGTTGGAAGACACCCGCTTGAAGACCCTGAAGCATGCCAAAATATTGTTCCTGGGATTCCAACGCCACGGATCAACCTGACTGTTGCGTCCTGACGATCCTGAATCATGCCGAAACGCCATTTCGAAGATTTCAACACGGAGAACCCATGTAACTGTCATACCCGCGTAATCTTGAGTCCTTCCAAAGCAGTGTCTGTTACGTTGATGATGGGAATATGTGAAACTCTTGGCAACTTTGTAAACGAGTGTGCGCGGCGCTAAGGCAAGAGCCACATTTTGAAAAGGAGTTGCCCTCAAGCCGTGAAGCTGTTGCAAATGTTTAAAACGAATGTGCGCCGCGCGAAAGCGAGATCTACATTTTGAAAACCACTCACCCTCAACCCGTGAAACTCTTGACACATTGTCAGACGAAAGTGCGCGGCGCAAGGGCGAGAGCCACATTTTGAAAACCACTCGCCCTCAATCCGTGAAACTCTTGCAGATGTTTGAAATGAATATTCGTGGCGTTAATGCGAGAGCCACATCTTGAAAACCACCCGCCCTCAATCCGTGAAACTTTTGCAGATGTTTGAAATGCATATTCGTCGCGTTAATGCGAGAGCCACATTCTGAAAACCACACGCCCTCAATCTGCTAAATCTTGTCATTAAAAAAAACGAATGTGCGCCGCGTTGAGGCGAGAGCCACATTTTGACAACCACCCGCCCTCCTTTCGTGAAGCGCTGGCCAATGTTTAAGTTTCAGAGACACAACTAGTGTGGAAGTCTGAGGCGAAACGCCAGGCACGCCCTAAAGACTAGCCTCGGGGTGCGACAAAGAGAAATAATGTATAGGACAAGGATTGGAGGAGGAGGAGGAGGAGAAGAATCAGAAGCAGACGAATAATACTACCAGCGATAAAAATTCGCCGGCCCAACGGGCCAGAGGCGTGCTAAGATCTCCGGTAACTGGTTAACAATTTTCTAGTTCGCGCGCGCGGGGCGGCCCCTGGGGGTCCCCGGACGAAAAGTACCCCGACCAGGTCCCGGCCGGTCCCCGGCCGGGTCCCGGCCGGGTCCGGGTCCCGGCCGGGTCCCCCCGAGCGCTCCATGAGCGCACCAACAGGGCTCCGAGACGTCCCCGAGAGCCCCAAGAAAGGCCAAGAGGCCCCCAAGAGGCCCCCAAGATGGTACACGAGGGGTCCGACATGCCACAAGATCGCTCCAAGACGCCCAAGATAGCCCCCAGACGCCCCAAGAGGCCTCCAAGAGCACTCCCAATAGGGCCCCCGGAGGCAAAAATCATTGTTTTTCCATAGGTTTTTGAGAGATTTTGGAGCTTCCACCTTTTCGGCTTCCCGACGCCCCAAGACGGCCCAAGAGGCCCCCAAGATCGCCCCAAGAGGGCCCAAGAGGCACCCAAGAGGGCCCCAAGATGGCCCAAGAGGGCTCGAAGACGGCCCAAGAAGCCTCCAAAACGGTCCAAGAGGGCCCCAAGAACGCCCCCAAAGGGGCCCCAGAGAGGGAACACGAAACAACATTTCGAGCCCTCGGCCCTAAGAAGCCCCTACGAGGCCCCTAAGAGGCCCCAAGAGGCCCCCACGGGGCCCTCAGGAGGCCCCCAAGAGTCCCCCAAGCGGCCCCAGGAGGCCCCCCAAATGCCCCCCCGAGCGCCCCAGGAGTCCCCCAAGCGGCCCCAGGAACCCCCAAAGCGCCGCATTGACACCAGGCCCTCGGGCAAACGGCAGACATGAGACTGTATGGGCCGGCGGAATGAGCGAAGCGATTAATAACATTCAACATGCGAAGGACAAACATAATATGAATAATAATCTGACAATAATTGCAAATCGCAAACATAGACTTGCGAATGATAACAATAATAATGCGAATAGTAATCATACTAGGGAGAAGAAGAGAAAGAGACGAAGAGGAGGAGGAAGAGAAGGAGGACTCCTGCCTCGAGCGGAATCCTTCGAGAGCCCTATTTTTCTTTGCCCTACGAAGAGACACCCAGCGACAGAGAGAGAGGCGGACGGCACCTGCAGGAAAAGGTCACGGTTCACCTAAATTTACGTCGGGCGTGTCCCTCTACAGGAGGAGCATTCAAACATATTTCAAGAAACAGTGCGGGAACACTTTTTTGATCATGTTCTGAGTTGTGTTTCTCATTTCCCGTCCAAAGTCCGCCTGTAGGGGGACATGCCCGACCTGAGCCAGGCGGACGAGGACGAGGGGGAGGGAGGGCGCTCGCTGCTGGTCCCTGCGTGCCTCCTCGTTGCCTCCCCATCGAGGAGGCCTACCAGGCCACCTGGAACGTCGAGCACACCGCGAGGTCCCTCTCGCACTCGCCCGGCGCCCAGCTGCCGCGTGGCCTGCGGAGGACGCGTGATTGGGGGGGGGGGCGATGGATGGAGGGGCAGCGAGGGCTGCCGAATGTGGAAAAATTGCCACACGTCCTTGCATGTTTCCCGAGTATCCGCCTTCGCCACGTATGTAACATGTAATTAATTATTATTTGCATACTTCCAATGTCCTCGCTAGCCGGGGGGACGTCGGCGTGTCGCCACTTCGGGGGTCCACCGGTGAATGGCTTCGCGAGTTGCACTTGTAAGATTTAACTTTGTGGTAGAAGCACGCGTAGGTTAGCTCCTGTGAATCACGTCCGTTAAGCTTACTCCGGGTGCGATTATTTTCTCAGCGGGCACAAACTGTGTCCTGCGAGCGTGGCCGACTGGGCCAAACCTGGCCCTCCAAACGTCCATCGGCCACGCGGCCGGGACAACATAGTCATTAGTTGGCCCTCCCCGGCTGCGGTAACGCGTTTGGAAGGACCAGCAGCCATGCAGCTGAGCCTAGGAGCTGTATTTACCGGTCGTTCGGCTGGCAAGCCGCGGGACGGATGAGGGTCCGCACCCGTTCTGGCTCAAGAACCATGGGCGCGCGCCAGAAAAACAGAAGTACGCCCCGGGGCAATAGGAGCATTGGCACAGCTGCGGCAACGCGTTGTGCCCGTGCTCGCTTTCTTGCATCCGTGCGTGCTTTGCTGGTGGCGGCGCGGCCGGGCCTGGTGCATCCGTGGCGCCGGAGGGCCCCCCTCACGATCCCTGTCGGGTAGGCGATTCACCTGACTCGCTTCCTGCGTCGACTCAGCCTGGGGTACCCCTTGAGGAGGGATACCGCCTGGCCGGGATTCCAGCAATGCCAGAGGAGGAGGAGGACGAGCTAAGCGTCTGCTCCCCCTCCACACCCACTGAAGACAGAGAGATAGACTAAACCGCTATCAACAGGTTATCAGCCGAAAGCTCTTTGAGACCATGGCGACTGGAAATCCCAACGACCTTGGCGAGATGACCTCGCTCGCCGATGCTGCGGACGAGGACCTCGGCCTGGTGTTCCCCGCGGTTTTCGCAGAGGCTGCGGCCGGCATGCCGCCGCCTCGCCCGCGGCCGGCGCATCGGCCCGTCTTGCCCCTCCGCGGCCGCGGCGTGGTAGGCAGATCCGGTCGCGGTGCCTCGTCGCAGGCCGCGCCTGCGCCTTCGGCCGCTGCGCCCGTTGCTGATGCGTCGCGGGCGGACCGCAGCCGCACGCTGCTGTACGCTGGCGCGGATGATGAGGAACCCAGCGCTGTAGGGCTCGACCTCACCGGCGAGCTGACCGCATCATTGACCAGCAGGCGGCGCTCGAGACCCAGACGGCGATCCTCGAGCCTGAGTTCCAGGCGAAAGAAACAGCGCTGACTGGGCGTCTGGAAGTGGCTCTTCTGGAACGCGCGGAGGCTCTGAGCGCCCAGGCACAAGCAGACCTCCGGTCCGAGCGCGGGCTCATGCCGCGCCGGTTGGACGAGGCGACCGCCGCGGCCCAACACGAGTGCCACGAGAGACTTGCGGTGAGCTCGCGCGAGTTCCGTGCGGCAGAGCAGCAGATGGCGGCGACGGACCGCCAGCAGCTTGCCGGCATCCTGGCCGCGGAGTCTGCTCCCACTCGGAGAATTGACTCTCCCGCCCGAGTCCTCAACACCGTATCAGGATCCAAAAGTCCGCCTGGAGAATTAACCCGACCTCTCGGGGGGGGCACGCTGTGCAGAAGGCACCACGCCGTGCAGAACGCAGGGAGACCTCTCCTGGAGGCCCCAGCACGCCCACAAGGGGGCCCAAGGATCCTTCTCGCAGGAGGGGGCACGAGAGCTTCCAGCAGCACCCCAGGAAGGCACCCCAAGACGCCTCAGGGAGCTCCCGCGATGCCCTGTTGAGATCTCCACTCTTTTCGTCGGTCCTTTTTCTTCCTTCTGTGCCTTCCTCGGCCTTTTCATTCCGCGTGGTTCTCTGTATTCTCTCTCACCTCGTTGTCGTCACGATGGAGACGGGCAGCACAGGGGCCGACACGAGGCGTCACTCTCCCTTCCTCTGCTCCCCCTTTTTCCCCTTCCTGCGCCCTCCCTGATCACTCCCCCCTCTCCTCTCCTCCGCCAACTCCTCCTCCTCCTCCTCCTCCTCCTCCTCCTCCTCCTCCTCCTCGCCCAGCTCTTCCCGTGACGGCCTCCCGCCTGCCTGCCCTCTCTTCGTGCCCTCGGTGCGCCCCGCCTGCCTCCACCTGCCCGCCCAAGCCCCCGCCCTCCTCGTCTTCGGCAGGCCCTCCCTCCGCCGCGCCCTCCTCGCCTGCTGCTTCCTCCCCCCGCCTGCACTGAAGTCGGATCGATCCCTCTACAGGAGGAATCTTCAAGGATAGTTAGAACATAGTCTGGTGACGAGTTTTTTCCATGATCTTGTTCGAATCTGCTCGAGCATTGTTTGACGATTTTTTCATCCGAAACCCGCCTGTAGGGGGACATGCCCGACCGAAGCCTGCATCCTCTCGCTTCTTCCCCGTTCTTTTCGCGTCCCGAGGGAAGCGGGCAGCACGGGAATCGACCAGCATGCCGCACCCTGCTTGCATGTAGCCCTTGTACTTGCCCTCCTCCTACGCTGCATGTTCGGGGGACCTCGTGCGTCCCAAGCATTTGCGTGCTCTTCTCCTTGTGCCCAGCGCAGGCTCGATGCGGACTCGACGCGGATGTGGTGTGGATCCGACGTGGATCCGACGCGGATCCGACGAGTCCGACGTGGGTTCGACGCGGATTCGACGCGGGTCGGGCCGCGACGGCACAGGCGAGGTCTCCCGAGGATGCAGCACAGCATGCTCACCTGTGCGGTCGGAGTTCGTGGCTCCGACGCACGCGCTCTCCCGTAGCCGCCGGGGCTGCGGAGGTTCATCAGTCCTCCTCTTCCTCCTCCTCCTCCTCCTCCTCCTCCTCCTCCTCCTCCTCCTCCTCCTACGGTAGGTTCGCGTCGTGTCGACTCGTCGCGACCCCGCCGCGGGCGTTCAAGGTTGAACGCCGCCGGTGGCCCAGAATCGTCCTAATATGGAACGATCTGGCAATCGATAAGCCGCCGATCGTTCAAGGCTGAACGATCAACGCGATGTCAGAAACCAACGCTGGGGTCGTCACGACACAAACCCGCCGTAGTCCTCCTCCTCCTCCTCCTCCGCAGTGCGTAGCACGTGCTTCTCGCTCGCCCCCCCGCGGTCTTTCCGGGCGGAGCCCGGTGCGCTGCTCGCTTTCGTCCGAGGTCGCACCTCATGATCTGGAGCGACAACGACGTGACCAACGATTTCACAATAGCGAGGAATAAGGTCGGGGGACAAAAAGATACGGATACGTGTTGTCCCCCTTCGTTTTCGGCCTTTCATGGTCCTCCTGGGGATTCCTCGTTGTCACCGCTGGATTCGCCTCGACATTCTGGTCAGAACGCACCCCAAGAGAGGTCCGGGGACAACACGTATCCGTATCTTTCCGCCCCCCAATAAGGACGGGTATCAGAGTTGGGACAAGGAGTATTTGAGCACCGCAATGCGCGTGTACAGGATGTACCAGAGGGCCCTGCACGATCCAGCTGTCCTCACGGACCAGCAGCAGTTGGATCACAGAAAAGAGGTGGAGGAGTGGCATTCTCACATAAAGAAGGCTGTCGCCGTCCAATTGCCTTATTTCTAGTGTTCGGAAGGCAACGTGCATGTTCGTCAAGCGTCAATTAGCACCATCGTTAGTACGATTCCCCAGAACAGCGCAAACTGGTATTTGCGGGTTGGGGCGGTCTGGTTTCTTTAGGCGCCAAGGCTCTTAGGGCGTCGGAACGCCGTCGGACGCCATCTTGTGCGCCTCGCTGTGCCGTCTGGGAGCACTCTGAGGGCGCTTCAGGGCCGTCTTGGAGGCTATCTCGGCCGTCTTGGGGGCCTCTGGGGCCGTCTTGGGGCCGTCTCCGGGGCCTCCTGTGCCGTCATAGGTCCGTCTTGGAGACCTCTAGGGCGATTTTTGGGGCCTCTGGGGCCGTCGGAAGGCAGAAAAAAAAGAAGCGCCCAAATTCTTCAAAGGCATTTCGAAAATCAATGATTTGGACCTCTATGGAGGGCATCCTGGGCTACCTTGGGTGCATTTTGAGCCGTCTGGGGAATCTATGACGGCCATCTTGGGGTCTTTGGCCTCCCGGATTGGAATTGGGCGGATCTTTACGTGTCCCAGCCCCGCCCAGAACATGGAGCACAGGAAGAGCAGGCCCTTCCCCCGGTGGCGATCCGGTTTGGATAGGGTTTCACGGCTGGCGTGTGTGCATGCATTTTCGTTTGTGTGTATGTGTATGTGTATCTGTTTCGTTGTGTATGCTTGTGTGTGCGTGTGCGTGTATGTGTACGTATAGGTATTGGTTCATGCGCGTGTATGCGTTCGTAGTGTGTGTATGTGAATATGTATGGCGCGTTATTGCATGTGTGTCATGTATACATGCATGTGATGGGCGCGCATCTGCTCATATATGTTTATGTGTGTGCGTCGTTGTGTGCACGAGTGAGATGTATGTTAGTGCGCATGAAGGTATGCATGCGCGCGTGCGTGCGTCCGCCACCGCCTGCATCGCGCCGGGAACGCTATCGTGCCTGCAACAAGCCAAGGAACATCAGTGGATTCTGCTTCTTGGGGACCTCCGAGGGCTTGAAGCCTTCTCGGGACATCTTCGGGGCCTCTTGGGCCGACCTGAGGCCATCCTGGGCTGTCGTGGAGCGCATACGGGCAGAAATGAACTGGTACTGGATCCTGCACCTTGCCCCCTCCCTCGGAAGAGCCACCTTGGCACCCCCGCAGCATAGCTGAAGCTCAGGCTGTAGGCTGTAGTCAAGGCTCTTTGAAATACACGCCGGATCGGCTGATATCGGACGATCGCAACGCTCATGATGTCGTTTAAGATGCAGTTTGTGTGCACACACCGTTGAGATTGCGAGATGGCATCGGCGTGACATGCCAGTTGGCCCTTCGGAAGGGGTCGGCATATTTACGGTCCGCTGGGTGTCTTCTTTATTGACATGAGGGGCAACAGGACGACGTTTCTGCGACACCTTTCTACGGTTCAAGTGAGTTGGAAACAGGTGGCGAAAGAAGACGCAGTAGCACGCATCCCTCTTCGCAGCGATGCTCATTGCAGGCTGGTTGAAACCGTGTTAGCAGGACGGGTGTGCGTGTGCGGGCAAAGTTTAGTTGCGGTGTCAGCCTGCGACAGTTGCCGGCATGATTGGCAGAGCACCACGTGATGCAGTTTTGGAAGGTGTTGGTAACTGGTCCGCAGGTGTTCCGGGCTGAAATGGCTCACTCGTCACAGCTCCGTCCTTGCATTTTCGAGTTTATGTCTTCTTCCAGCGGCTTTGTCGAAGTGTGTGTGTGTGTGTGTGTGTGTGTGCGAGGGGAGGGAGGGGATCAGGGGAGAGGGGGCGCGAGACAAGCATGTATCGAATGGCCTTGGGCCCATCCCGCCACCGTGCCTGGGTTGTGGGTATGAAGCCTATTGGGTGTTGATTGGGATGTCGTGGAAGGCCTCTCGGGGGCATACCGGAAGCAGTTTTGGGGCATCGTGGGAGCCGTTTTGGGGCCTCTTGGGCCTCGTGGGGGGCGTCTTGGAGCCCTCATGGGGGCCTCTTGGAAGCCTCTTTGAAGCCTCTTGGGGTGGTCTTGGGGGCCTCTTATGGGCAGTCCTCGAGCGTCGGGCAACAGAAAAGGCGAGAACGCACACATCCGTCAAAAAACAACAAACTCACCTATGTTTGCCTCTCGGGTGCCTCCTGGGAGGGCGCTTGGAGTCCTCTTGCGGCGTCTCGGGCCATCCTGAGGCCATAATGGGCGTCCTGGTGCGGTCGGTGGGCGTCTTGGGCTCCACTTGGACCGTCTTGGGGGCCTCTTGGAAGCCTCTTGGGGTGGTCTCAGGGGCCTCTTGGGACGTCCTGGAGCGTCGGATAACCGAAAAGGCGAGAACGCCAAAGTCTTTCAACAACCTCAAGAAATCGAAGCTTTTGGCCTCTTGGGGCCCTCTTGGGATGGCTCTTGGAGGCCTCTTGCGACGTCTTGGGGGCCTCTTGCGGCCATCTTGAGGCCATAATGGGCGTCTTGGTGCGGTCGGTGGGCGTCTCGGGCCCCACTTGGACCGTCTCGGGGGCCTCTTGGGGCTCCCTTCGCCCGTCCTGGGGGCCTCTTGGGCCCCGAAACGTCATGCGACACGATGCGCTGGAGCCCAAGAGATTTGAGAATGTGTGGTCGGGGCCCATTGAAGCTTCCGGGGTTAGGCAAAGGGTCTGAGGACACGCCAACTCCGTGCCCCGTGTTGCACGGTGGCGGATTTCTCCCCCCTCCGTAGAGGGAAAGAGTGGGAAAAGGTGGAGAAGTTGGAGGGAACGGATACGGAGTGGCTACTACATCCGGGGTCAGAGATTGGGGATTGGAGGGGTTGGGGATACTTTCGGGATGGGGGGGGTGGGCCGGGGGGTGAGAGTTGGCATCAAGAGAGAAGGGAGGGTCGGGGAGAACGGGATGATGTGGGAAGCAGTGAAGATACGAGGAAGAGGAGGTAGTTGAGGACACGATGCATGCGCACACATATCTATATATACATATATATATATATATGTATATGAATATGTTTCTCGGAGGTTGGAGGGTGAGTTCGAATTGAAACGGAGACCCCACACCAGGACATCGGCTTCGATTTCGTGTTCGTGCCGTGCGTGCGGGCGATGCGAAGCTGCTTGGGCGGGCGAGAGGAATGACCCCGCCGTGGCTAAATTGAAACTGAGCTCAGCACCTCGACGCCCCGCGGTTGACGGGCGATGGCTCTGGTGTGTCACGCCAGTGTCCCGTGTTCCTTGGCGCAGAATCTCGTGGTGTCCCGTGAGGTCGATTGTGAGATCGATGCTAAGGTCGATAGTGCGATCGACGAAGCGATCGACAAATCGGTCGACAAAATCGGCAGAGAGACCAGTTGAGATTGCTAGATCGTGAGATCGATAGAATGAGGGTGACCCACGGCGACATCGATGGGTAGATCGGTAGCTAGAGCAGGCGAGTGGTGACGTTGGGCTCTGCCCGCGCACTCCTGGCCTCGGCGCCCACACTCTGTGGGCACGGCCTCGCTCCCGCGGTGCTCTGTTGAGCGGCTCCGCCGCGCTGCCGCTGCTCGGCGGTAGGCGCGTTATGGTTCAGAGACCATCTGACCATACAGTGCCGTTTTTTATACATGCTCCGCGTGCGGATCATGTATGAAAAGTGCAGGGATTTAGTGTGAAAAGCAACGATGAGTTCATGCCTAAATTTTGTGATACATTAGTCATGTATTTAAAGTCCTATATGTTTAAACATCCCATGTATAATAATTGCCCTGTATCGGTTTGCTGCACCGTGAAGTCGGTCAGCATGACCATCCTACATAAGAAACAGAGCCATCATCGCCAACATCAGTACAAGCGGCATCCACACGATCATCATCACCATCACCCCTGTCGTTATCACCACCATCGTACGCACAGCAGTCAACGCCTTCGACCACCAGGCACGCCACAGGGTGGCATCTCGATTGTGAGAACGATCGGTAGGGAGACTGCTAGGTAGAACGTGGAGTCGACAGTGAGTCCGATGATGAGGTCGGTAGATCGGAGGCCGGGGTCATACCGATAAGTAAAGAGATCGATAGTTAGATCGATAGCGGTGTCCCTTGGCGTCGGTGTGCCGTGGCTTTGTTTGTTCTTCTTTTGTTTCTCAATAGCAGAGCGCGCGGGTAAATGATTGCCACGTGGTTCCGCTGGTTGCCGCGATGCTGTGGTGTCGCGCTGTGAGTTCGAGAGCGAAATCGATGGTGAGATCGATAGTGGGGTCGAGTACGGTATCGGTAGTGATATCTTCAGATAGATCGATGCATCGATCGGGAGTAAGATCGAAAATGAGATCAATAGATGAACCGATAGTGAGATCGAACGTGAGATCCATAGTGAGGTCGATAGTGACATCGATAGGTAGTGGTACTGGCAGATAGAGGGAGAGCGGCAGATAGATCTGCAGTGGGATCGATCGTGAAATTGATCATTCGCGAGACCGATCGTGCGATCGATAGTGGTGTCCCCTGGTGTCTCACGCTGTCCCGTGGTCTTGTATGTTCTGGATGTGTTCTTCTGAAGGGAAGAGCGTGCTGGCAACTACATGCCACCTGGTTCCGCTGGTTGCCCCGATGGGATGGGATTGATGCTCCGGTAAACAGTCAGATTGGTAAACCGATTGGTCTGCACGTTCGTGGTACGTCCGGAAGGAAGCAAAGAGCGAGCGGGCAAATCAATGCCATTTACTTCCGCTGGTTGCCCCGATGATCTCCGTTGGATGCCCGATATATTCAAGTCGGACGTGTCCCTCTACAGGAGGATTATTCAAACATAGTCAAAGCTTCCAAAATCCACCTGTAGGAGGATATGCTCGACCTAACTATAGAGAAAGAGATTAATCACCGTATTGCCCTGCATGTCCGTAGTACGCTCTACAAAAAGAGAGCGCGGGCAAACACATGCCACCTGTTGCCGTTGGTTGTCCCGATGATTCCCGATGGTTGCCAAGGACGGCATCGGGACACCATCGGTGGTGCTCCATGGTGCCGACCTGGTTTGCGCCGAATCCGATCCGACCCCAATCGCACACGGAAAGTCCCCTCCCACCCTTTCATGATCACCCGACGCGTGCCCGTGCAGGCACATATGCAAATCTGATGGTGTTGTTTGATGCTGTTTTGGTGTTATGTATCTGGACGCAACTATATAAAACTATGTATATGTAAACATGTGCGTGTATATAGGATACACACTTAGACATAGGCTTATATGTATATACTCACATTGAAGGCGCCTTCTGCGAATCACCATCGGCCCCCTGCTTTTTTGAACCGCCCACGCGGCGGCCAAAGTTGGGGCCGAATTCTGGCCAAGCTGCTGGATTATCTGTTTCCCCAGCCGTTTTGGAACCTCTTGGAGGGCACTTCTGGAGAGTTAGGAGAAGCACGAGGAGAGGGAGGAAAAGGAGGAGGATGAGGAGGAAGAGTAAGGGAAAACCTCTTGAGGCCCTCCTGGGGCCACACGGGGGCTTCCTGGGAGCCTCTCGGGGGCCTCCGAGGGGCTTCGGAGGGGCATCTTGGGGGCCTCTTGGAGGCATCCTTGGGCCTCTGGGGGGAGCCTCGCGGGGGGCCTCTTGGGGGGGCCTCTCGGAGGATCCAGGGGACTTCCAGGGGACCTCTTGGCTTTGGGAGGCAGTCTTGGGGGCCAGCTCTGGGCAGCCGCGGCTCCTTCTCCGGGGCGATGGAGCGGGCCGGCTCGGAGGCCCATCGGGCCGTCCTGGGGCGTCCTGTCGGGGCTCTCCGTGGGGCCAACCCGCGGGCCGCGTGGCGTCCTCTTTTGGGGACGGAGGGGCGTGCTTTGACAACAAGACATCCAATTGATTGTCCAGTTGAACTTTATTGAATCGCTTCGCTCATTCCGCCGGCCCAATTCGCATGACTGAGCCTCTTGGGGCCGCTGGGGGGCCTCTTCAGCGTCGCTTGGGGGCCTCCTGAGGGCCTCTTGGGGGCTTTTGGGGCCTCTCAGGGGCCTCTTGAGGCCTCCTGGGGGCTTCTTAAGGCCGAGGGCTCGAAGTTTTGTTTTGTGTTCCCCCTTTGGGGCATCGCTTGGCCCTCTTGGGCCCCTCTTGGGCCGTCTTGGATGCCTCTGGGGCCGTCTTGGAGCCCTCTTGGGCCATCTTGGGGCCTTCTTGGGAGCTTCTTGGGCCCTCTAGGGGCGATCTTGGGGGCCTCTTGGGCCGTCTTGGGGCGTCGGGAAGCCGAAAAGATGGACACGCCAAAACCTGCCCAAACCTAAGGAAAAGTAATGATTTTTGCCTCTTGGGGCCCTCTGGGGAGTGCTCTTGGAGGCCTCTTGGGGCGTCTGGGGGCCATCTTGGGCGTCTTGGAACGATCGTGTGGCATCTCGGAGCACTCTTGAACCATCTTGGAGGGCTCTTGGCGGCCTCGTGGCCCTTCTTGGGGCTCTCTGGAGGGCCACGGGGGCGGCGCCCAGGAGGAAAACCATCTCTGACCCGAGTCTGCCGGGGATCGCCCGGGGTACTTTTCGTCCGGGGACCCCCAGGGGCCGCCCCGCGCGCGCGAAGTAGAAGTATTATTTAGCAGTTACCGGAGATCTTAGCACGCCTCTGGCCCGTTGGGCCGGCGAATTTCAGCTAGTGCGAAGACATCCCGCATACCTGGCCAGTTGTAGGTGAAACACGTTACTGGGCCGTCTCGGAGGGATTTTGGGGATACTCTTGGGGCGGGCTTGGATCTTGGGCCCTCAAACGGGGTGGTGGCCCCACCGTGCGGCGAGTCGGTGGGGACTCGGGGTCACCGCACTGGTTTTGGGGCCCGAGGCCCTCTCCGGAGCTGTCTCGGGCGACATGGGCCTCTTAGGAGGTGAGGTCTCTTGGACGGATGTCTCTTGGACGGATGAGGTGAGGTGAGGTCTCTTGGACGGATGTTCGGCGGCCGCTCGGGCTGCCAGCGGGATCAGCCAAATGCCCAGTTGGGAGCCCTTACGGAGGACCACCAAGTCCTTCGCGTCTGGCGCCCGGTGCACCCCTGCTGGAAGCCAGAGGGGGCGGCGGATATACGAGCCTTTGGCCCATTCCGCCACCTGGTCCAGGTTGTAGGTCAGAGGCGCCTTGGATGCATGTGATGATCTCTTGTGAGGCCTCTCGGGAGCATCTCGGATTCGGCTCGAGGGTGTCTTTGGGATCTGCTTTGGGCCTCCTACGGGCGTGCTGGCGGTCTCGGGGGTCGTCTGGGGGTGGAGCGCTCGAAATGTAAGCTCGTGTTCCCCTCCGGGTCCTCTCTTTGGCCCCTCTTGGGGGCCTCTTGGCTTGCAGCCCTCGGAGCGTCGGGAACCCGACAAGGCGTGAACGTACAGTTTCAGAATTTACGAAACATCCGTATCTGTTGTGGTTCTAGGGGCCCGTTTGGAAGTGCTCTTGGAGCCTTTTGGGGGGCGTCTTGGGAGTATCTTGGGCCGTCTGGAGGCGAGCCTCGGCTGCTTGGAGCGATCTGTAGGCGACTCGGGGCCCTCCTGAACCGTTGTGGGGGGCCCTTGGGGCCCTCACGGCCCGTCTTGGGGCCGCCTGGCTCGTCAGGAGTCGCGCGTGGGCGTGCGGCAGGCCCCGTCAGTAACGCGACGCGCCCCGGCGGATCTGGGACTCTGGGGTCTAAGCTCCGAGGCCCCGTGATACGCAGTCAATCAGGACTGGGGACGAAGAACTCTAAGGGACCTGAGGACGCTCCAACGCGTGCCGAAGGGCACGGTGGTGGACGGATGTCTACATCTTATAAATGCATACATGTATGTATCTACGTATGTATGTGTACGTGTATGCGCATGTATGTATGTATGTACATGCGTACGTACACACGGATGTAGATACATACGCATACACATAGGTGTGTATGCACAATTGTCTGTATGTGCATGTATGAAGTTATACACACATGCATACCTGCATGTGTGTACGATGGCATGTATAAACATATGTATATATATATATGTAAATATGATGCATGATTGCATGTGTGTATGTTTGGGTATGTGCATGCATGTATGTATGCATGCATGTATGTATACATGCATGTATATATGTATGTCTGTATGTATGTATGTATGTATGTGTAATGCATGGAGGTATGCATGCATGTATGTAGGTATGGTTGCATGTATGTGTGTACGCACACATTCATGAATGTATGTGTGCCTGCGTGCGTTTGTGCATGTTTGGATGCGTCTATCGTCGTAAGAATGTACATGTATGGGCATGTATACCGTTATGCATACATGTACGGTTGTGTGTGAGCGTGTATGTGTGTGTACATGCACCTATGGATGCATGTATATGCTTATTGTTGTACGCGTGTAGGTGTATGTATGTGTGTGTATGTGTGTTTGTATGTGTATGCATTGATCGCTGTATGCATGTACATATACAGTTAAATGTTTACAGTGTTGTGTGTCTGCTCATAGTGTTATTCTAAATGTCTAGAGGGAGGGCGTGTAAGAACGAGAGAGAGAGAGAGAGAGCGAGAGAGAGAGATATACACATATAACGAGAACGATAGAGACAGAGAGGGACGGACACAGCAGTACACAGCATAGAGGTGGGGATGAGCAGGGACATGGGAGAGGGCGGGGGGCTGCGGTGACTTGGAGAGAGTGGGGAGGACCAGCTATGTGCGCTCATGCCATATCTGGCATCCGTCCGCATTGCGCTGGCTTTTCTCGGTCCACTGGAACTGGATGTCCAAGGAAGACGCCAGTGTGTTATGCGCAATCTGAAAGTGCAGGCTACGTACATGTGAGGAGCAGGTGGCGGCTAAGCAGGAGGATGAGCAGGCGAAAAGAGACGGATGAGGACGGGAGCGGACGAGAACGAACAGCATCCGCAGGAGCTGGAGTGGAAGAAGCGGGGGGGGCGGGAGGACCAGGGGAAAAGGCGGAGGAGGGGAAAGGAGGAGGTCGGCAGAGGTGAAGCAGGAGTCGGATCCAGAAGTGTGGCCCGCGCTAGGGCGAGAGAGCGCCATTCCGAACGAGGGGAGATCCGAATATGATGCCCACGACTGGGAGGGGGAGGAGGAGAAAGAGGAGGAGAAGGGGGGGGAGGAGGAGGAGGAGGAGGAGGAGGAGGAGGAGGAGGAGGAGGAGGAGGAGGAGGAGGAGGGATCTCTGGAGCAGGGGCAAGAGCGGGTGGGGGGCGGGAAGGGTCTGGGGCGGCACGGGCGGGATAAGGAGGAGGTG